AATGTGAGTGGTCAAGAAATTAAATTTGTAATTTAAAATTTCCTGAAAGGAAATCTCCAGACTCAGCTAGTTTCACTAGAGAATTCTACCAAATATTTAAAGAATTAACACCAGTTTTACAGTCTCTTCCAGAAAATAGAACAGGGAGGAAACACTTCCCAATTCATTTTATGAGGTCATTATTACCCTGATGCCAAAATGGATACACATTACAAAAGAAAAGAAAAAATGCTGCAGACCTCTATCTCTCACAAACTTAGATGCAAAAGTCCTCAACAAAATAATAGCAAATCAGTTCTAGCAAAATCCATAAAAAGAATTATGTTCTACGACTGAGTGAGATTTATTCCAGGTATGCAAGTCTGGCTTAATATTCAAAAAAATCAATTAATGTAATCCATCATACCAACAGACTAAAGAAGAACAATCATATGATCATATCAGTTGACACAAAGCTTTTGACAAAATCCAACACCCTTTCACGATTAAAAAAAACCTAACAAACCACCTCTTAGCAAATGAGGGCTAGAGGGGAGCTTCTTCAGCTTGATAAGGAACATCTGTAAACCTACAGCTGTCATCATCCTTAATGGTAAGAGACCACGTTTTCCCCCTAAGGTCGGGAACAAGGCAAGGCTGTCCATTCTCACCATTCTTACTCAACATAGTACCGGAAGTTCTAGCCAGCACAATAAGGTAAAAAAAGGACATCATCAGTCACTAGGGAAACAAATCAAAACTACACTGAGGTGCACTTCACATCCACTAGGATGGGTAGAATAAAAAAGATAATCACACATCCTGGCCAGGACATAGAGGAATTTGAACCCTCACACAGTGCTAGTGGGAAGGTAATATGGTGCAGCCGTCTTGGAAGACAGTCTGGCAGTTCCTCAAAAGTTAAACTTGGAGCTGCAGACGACCCAGCAGTTCCACTCCTATGTTTATACCCAGGAGACTTGAAAACATGTGTCCACACAAAAACCTGTACATGGATGTTCACAGAAGCATTATTCACAGTAGCCCCAATGGAAATTCTCTTCTTGATGTAAAGGATTGTGGAATTTTTTAGTATCTCCTTTTTTTTTTAGTTATCTAAGAGTAATAGTGGAGAAATTTGGTTATAATTTCTAATTAATCATCTTTACTGAGTTATAGAATGATTCTAGAGCATTTTAGAAAATGATTGCTAACAACTAACTGGCTTTAAAATAGTGGACAGTCCATTTAGGCAAACTCTCAGGATAATCTTGCTCTTTAGCTGCCCTATAGGGGAAATATTGCGGGGGGGGGGGTTCTCGGTATGATTACAAGTCTTCCTCCAACAAAGACGACTCCTGCTGTCTTGGCCTAGATTTCATAGTTCCCAGCAATAGGTACCACTTCTTTTTAAATTACTATTTAATATTTGATATATATAGAATTATATAAATTATATATTAAAAATTACTACTGCCACTTTGTATCTGCTATTTTTAGTACAGTATCTGTTGCATGATAGATGCTCCATTAACAACTTTGAAATGAGCTGGGTAAGCAATACCTGATTCCTTTACAGATCTCGGTCTCTCTCTGAACTTTTCAAAAACGTCCACTGTAAGTAGGTGTTATTAAATTGAGAATAAAAATTGCTTTAAGCTAGAACTGGAATTATTACCAAGTAGATGTTATTTTCAGAAAGTCGCTTGGTAAAGACTCCTCTGAAACAAATTATTATTGCCTTCATCTCTTTATCAAGATGTCTTGTATATGTATATGGAGAACAGAAGCAGCACAATGGCAGAGTTTCATTTAGAAAATGAGAGGTGTAGGTGCTCCCGCTGCAACCCCCACTCACCTCCAGCCGTGCTTCTGGAGCGAGTGGTTCCGGGCCTGTGTGAGCTGCTTGGCCAGCCTTCCCATGAGCTCTGAGTGCATGAGTGCCACATTATCCACACGTGTGGAAGAGGTAGCAGATGTCTTTCTTGGATCTGGTTGCTGTGTATCACCTCTGAAGATTTTTCTGGATCCTTCCCAAATCCTCCAGAAGGCTCTAGTGAGCTTTTTTTTCTTTTTTTTTTGCAGTATGCAGGCCTCTCATTGTTGTGGCCTCTCCCGTTGTGGAGCACAGGCTCCGGACGCGCAGGCTCAGCGGCCGTGGCTCACGGGCCCAGCTGCTCCGCGGCATGTGGGATCCTCCTGGACCGGGGCACGAACCCGTGTCCCCTGCATCGGCAGGCGGACTCTCAACCACTGCGCCACCAGGGAAGCCCTCTAGTGAGCTTTTAATGATTAAAGTTTTCCTGGTGTTTGAGCCTCTAGGTTCTCCAGGAGAAGCCCCTTTGGGTAAAAGTGCATCTGGGGTGTGCCCTTCAGGGTGAGTGGTGGCTCCCCGCTGGACCTGTTCTCTTCTCAGCCTGGGTGCCTTTGAAAAGTCCTCTGAATCACTGGTAGTTAGGTTTACATGCAAGCTGTTTCCAAAGACTAATTTCAATTAAAAGGTCAATATCTCAGATAAATACAAAACCAAAACAGTATATTGGAAGTAGCTCATCTGTTGGGTTTTGTTTTGTTTTGTTTTTTTGTATTCCTGGGTTAGCAGCTTGAAAAATGAATCGTTGGTGGAATTTTTTGTCTTGAATGTCATTTTTTTTAAATGTTACTGATTCTAATTAACCCCAGTGCAGAGCTGTCATGTGCCCAGTGGTGACAACGGGTGCCATATGAGTCTGAGGGGACTATTATTGTGTGTTACCACACTTCAGATTATCTGCAGCCACATTTAATGCTTTCTGCCAGTTTATACATCAGCATACTGCAAGGGGCTTGTTTAAGAAATAGAGGTTTCTATCAATGATCACTGTGAATTGGGAAATTTAGTTTCTAGTGGACTTACTTGGGATGAAGATGTTCCTACATCGTCTCCCTGTCTCCTTGTGCCTCCTCTGCCTCAGGTACTTTGCAAGGCTCTGGGCCAAATGCTCGTGGACCACGAGGTGCAGCCTGAGGCAGACCTAACACAGAGGCACTGAGCAGATCGCTACCTGACAGCACCGCCCGGCTGTGTCAGGGCTGCGGGAGCGCTGCCTCCGCAGAGGACAGAGCACAGACGTCCTGACATCAGCAGAAGTGCCCTTAACCCACCGAGCACCCCACGTGGCTGCCAGGGCGTGGGAACCTGCCCCGCCCCGTCCCCTCCCCCGGGGGCCTGTGTCTAAGGCCGACTTGGGAGAAAGGTGGCCTTGGTGTGACACACTGCTTCCCTTCTGAGCGCCTGAGGCTGTAGCTCAGTGACAGGCAACAGCAAAGACGGAAGGGCTGCAGCATTTGGGGGCTGTAGCCAGAGGACCTGCTCTTCGCTTCTCAGGAAGTAAATTCACTGTGGAAGCAGATTATAGACAGAGAAGTTAAAACTAGTAATCCACACCAACATTTAAGAATATTGAATCTTGGTTTTACATAAATGACTGTTTCTTCCTACATCGTTTCCTGTAATCATCACGTCTGTGCGCAGTTGTGGTAAGGCTTGCAAGAAGCATGTGCATTGGCTTCAGTCCCAGGCCACCTCTCCAATGCCCCTTTCACCGTTGAAGACTGTGCACTCTGTTCCCCTCCCGGAGCCTGACCCATTGCCGATGTCATCCTCCCTCCTGGGCTGGGGAGGACACACTTCCACAGAGCACGCAAGTTGAGACCACTTCCGGCAGGCTCCCCTGGCTCTGACACATCTGCAGCCTCTGCATCTTTCCGTCTTTCCGCATGACTCAGGTCTGATAAGCCACAGACCCACACGGCACTCAGACCCGACATCTTTCCTAGCGTGTTGTCACAGCAGACCTGGAAACTAATTTCCCGTGTGGAGCAGGTTGCTTCACTGGTGCTATTTTAGATTGTAGAGCTGGAGCCAAGGAAAGGATTAAAAGTGATTCTGCCTTCCCTTTTCTCTGTGCTTTAAAAAACCCACTCTGCTGATGGTTGTACAATGTGAGTGTACCTAACGCCACTGACCATACAAATAAAATGGGTAAGATGGTAACTTTTATATTATGTATATTTTGCCACAATAAAAAACCCCTTCCTCTAGAAATTGCAGTTTTTATTTTTATTTAGTATTAAGTATACTAGAATTTGATTTGTATTCTGGATTTACTATTCCTTCTATTAATAATCTGAAGAGGTTATTAATAGAAGTACAGCTTTTACTGCCTTCCATTTGAGAAGGTTTTATCTGCATTAATAATGACAACACTTTACATGTCGTAATCAATGTTAGGTATATATGAGTGAACACAGCTCTGTGTGTATTTAACTTACAAAGTTCACCCGAGACTGCTGTTTGGAAAAGACCCTGCAGAGCACTCATGTTAGTGTCACAGGTGTGTGGTATAGATTCAGGAGGGTCCGGATGGGATGAGGGAGTGGAAAACGGCCCTCAGGCCAGGACCAGCTTCCAGTACTCATGACTAGGACTCGCCCGGTGACTGGCAGTTCACGTCATTTCTTGGGGTCTCTGTTTCCTCATTGTAGAAGGTTTTTAAAATTGGAAAGACTTACCTCATGGGGATGTTGTAAAAAGCAAATGAAATAGCCAGTGTGAAAGAGACACAATCATGCAGACGTAGGGGATTATTAGTAAGGACCAAAACCCGAGACACATAAACATTCTTTTCAAGTTGGGAAACAAACGAGCAGCCGTCAGTTATTAAAATTATCCCTTCCTGCCTCATCTGCCCTCCTCAATGCCATCATCACCTGAAACCCCAGCACCTGGTCTTCTTGGAGCCCCGCCCCCTGGCGTTTATAACCCAGGAGTCCTTAAGTAACAAGTGATTTGGGGCTGGAGCTTGCGGTCATCTCCAGGAGAGGATCTAGCAGCTGGGCCTCTCTCCAGAGGACTTGGCCAGGAACCCTCAAGCTTTAAGCCTCGGTTGATGGGTCCTTTCCTTCGTGTCACATTTCCGGCTCAGTCTCCAGTTGTGCATGACAGTTAAGCTGCTCTCTTCCTTCCTGTCCCCCTGCAGGTCGCTGCTATTAACCCAAACCACCCACTGGCCCAGATGCCTTTGCCCCCATCCATGAAGAACTGCATTCAGTTGGCAGCCTGTGAGGCCAACGAGCTCCTGCCCATGATCCCCGACCTTCCAGCCGACCTATTCACGTCATGCCTCACCACCCCCATCAAAATCGCCCTGCGTTGGTAAGTGGCACCCACCTCGACTCCCAGCGACCCCCTTGGGGTTTGCTGCAGGGACCCAAGGAATCTACCTGGGTCTTTTGGACCAAGTTACAGGCGTGAGCTCAGGACCCCAGGTGGATGCTGGGGTTTTCCTCTTAGGGTTCAGGATGCACTGTCCCCCGGGTCAGGTGCGTGTGTGGTTTCCAGGAGCACCCTCTCCATTTCGTGGCTAACTGTGGCTGTGCCCTCAGATAGTAGGTGGGTCATGCTGGAAAGTGGACTTTCTTTTGAAAAAAGAAAAGCCTTCATTAGTTATAGAATTCTTTGCTTGAGTTGAAGTAGAATCTTTCAGTTTATTCTCAGCGGTAAAAAATAATAATAATGATTTTTTTTCCTACCGCCACTCTTGAGAAGTTGAGAGCTCTTGTGAATATGACTGAGGAAATGTGTGGAATATTCCAAGACAGTAGAACCTGCATTTAAGACCCTCCATCACTGGCAGGACTCACAATGGAATGTGTGTGCTTCTTGTCTCCAAATCCAGTTTTCTCCCCTAGACCGTCTTGCTCTCTTTTAATATCTACTTTTCCCTTTTATATTTTGCTGGAACCCATATACATGGAGGTAAGTAGCTCTTGGTGAGGCACAGGCGGGACGGTGCCGCCGCGTGGGTTCACTGGACTCTGTGGAGGCGCCTTCCTCCGTTTCCTGCCGGGGTGTCCTAACAGCACAGAGGCACAGGGTCCTGCTTCCTCCCCCACAGCCCTGGAGAAAGTAGGGAGACAAGCAAGGACTTTGGGGGCAACGACACAGTACTCAATCCCTCGGGAGGCCCCTCGGGTGACTACAGCCTGGGCAGGGGGTCCTGTGGTTGCCTTGAGCTGCTGGTTGGATGAGAACTTGGACTTGCAGCTTCACCTCTGTAGCAGCATCAGGTTGACCCACAGCACCTGAGTGAGGGCATCCACCTCCCACCCCAGCCCTCCCAAATCCCGGTTGTGGATCCCCCCAGGGAGAGGCCTCTTCTAACATGCCTGCTCCCTGAGGAGCTAGCGGAGGAGGTGTCCCCCAGCTGCCGAGTTCACCCCCCCCCCCGACTCAGCCAACTCATACAGGGCCTGACCGGGGCCATTCCCCACTGCACCCCACAAAGCAGAGCGCACGTGGCAAAAGCAGACTCCAGGGGAGAGAGCTGAGCTAGTCATCGTGCGAGGCAGGACTGTTGTCATGAAGCACAGTGCACGTGACGGGAGGTGAAGGGAGGAAGATGCTGGCTGGTAACAGAGTGAGACTACGACCTGGGGATGTTGAAAAGAACCACATAGAGATACAGGGGAGAGCACTGTGTTGTTTGAAACAAAGGACACAGTGGACGGGATTCCTAGCGGGAGGGGTGGCTGCAGTCTGACTTAGCATGTTGGGAGATTACAGTGAGGGGCTAGGCGCTGGGGAAGGCAGCAGGAGGAGAGAGACAGAAAACAGAAGAGCAGGAGACACGGAGGAGATGGAAGCTCCCCCGTGGAGAGAGAAGAGGAACGTGGCAGAGCTGGAAATACCTGAAGGTGATGCGGACACATTCTTCAGGACTGGAGAAAGCTCGAAGGATCTGAGAGGCTAGGGCTGATGGGAAGGGAGGAGAGTGGGGACCCAACCTCGGGGTGAGACTGAGGCTGCACGGCAGCCACACCCACACTGCCTCTGAGCATCACTCCTTTCTTCGTGGCTGCGCTGCCCTTGACCGTAGGTCTTTTTGTTCTTTCATTTATAAGTGAGTTTTTCTATGTAACTCTCTGTACTCTGTGATTGCTGTTAGAAAAGGTTTATGGTGCCATTTAATGTGACCTCAGAAAGATCTCTGATTCAGATGACTCAGGAAGTTGTTCATTTTATTCATCGTCCAAGAAATAATTTACTAAATACCAACTGTGTAAGCCCATGGGTAAGCACTATAGGCGATACAAAGAAGCATATTGCCCTGAAAAATTTACTATCTCGTTGAGGAGACAAGATGTGACCTGAAAATTCATTATCTAAATGGGTGCTTCATGCCAGGCAAAGAAATCTGAAAATTCCAGGCAATGCATGAGCAAGGACTAAATGGATCTGTGGCATCAAGGGCTATTTGTGTTTCCAGAGAACAGAGAAATCCCTAAGGGCCAAGGGGATCAGGAAGGGCTTCTTGGAGGAGAGGAAAGTTGAGTCAGGGTCTGGGCAGATGGTGGGATTTGAAGGGGAGCAGAGAGCACCACAGGCAGGTGGCCCCCGGTGCAAGAAACCATCCCTGAGTAGCAAGAGTGGGTCAGTAGAGAGAGGACTTCGTCCAGAGGGGTGAGGTGAGGTCGGAGTGTGGGCCGGCATCAAAGGGTGGGCCACCTTGATGTTGGGCCAAGGACCTTGGCTCCTCCTAGGACTGGTGGGGGAAGGTGTTTATATGGGGAAATGACTTAAGAATAGTGTTTAAGGAAGATAATCCATGTAAGGATGGGGAGACCTTGGTCTAATGAGGCCTTTATCACAACAGTGAGATCAGGATCCAAACTAAAGCAGGAAGGTGGAAATGGCCGTAGGCCCCTCGGTGGAAGGGCCCACAGACACACCCCAGAATCTGCGGTGCAACAGGCCTCATTCCCACTCATTTTCCTGCCCCTCCCTGTGGATTTCCTGCCCTTACTGCACCTGTGCACCCCGACTCCGGAGCTGACGGTGCACACCAGCTGTGCTCCGGGACCCCGGGCTGGGTGCTGCATCTGAAGGGGCTGTGAGTGGAGGGGTGGACTGGTGAGGGAAGAAGCAGGAAGAGCACAGACGGGGCCTCCTGCCCATGCCACTCCACACTCTGCTGCCAGCGCAGTGAGTTTGTCTGTTTCTTCCCCATGTCTCCGGCCCTGTCGTCCTCCACCACGGGTCAGAAGGACATGGCATCCCTTCACTGGCAGCGGTGGGTCCCTGCCCTCGGGTCAGGGGTCAGGCAGTAGGCTTTCAGTCCACCATGATGTGATGCATTGTCTTGGTACCTACCCGAAATCCTTTTGGGAGTTAATATATAATTAAATTTTTTTTAAGTAAGCATTTAGTAGGAAGCACAGTGAAAAATCAAACTAATACAGTTACCAGAGAATGGACTTTGAGGTCAGTACATCACGATTGTGGATGATGGTCGTCAGATAAGCACTGCCTGGAATGATTAAGCAGAGTCCCAGATGGGTGGATCTTTTACAATTAACCACTTTCTGCATACTGAGGGATTGAAATTAGATCGAACATAACATTTCACTGAGTGTCCTTAGCCTGTGAATGGCAGTAAACCATATTCATGGGAAGAATTGTCAAGGGAATTCTGTACTTCTTTGTAACAGCTGAGTTTAAAAAAAAAAAAAAAGACACAAGCCTTTTTATACATGAAGAGAGGAGACAGTTTGCCAGATAGTATTAATACTTATATTTTTATGGTTAAGTTTCTTTTTTTTTAATTTAAAAGTCAGTTTAATATTTTCCAGTGAAAAATGGGATATACATTCTTTGTAGAAAATTTACTAAAAAGTAAAAAGAAGGAAAAAATTGTCCAAGATTTTACCACCATTACCACAATTAGTGTTAACTTTTTGGTTTAAAAGTCAGTCTTTTTTTCTGTGTATGTACATGTTTGCATTGATGTAATTAGACTAAATTTACAATTTCATATACTTAAACCTTAGCATGACAAACTTATTTATCCTTGACCATTAGAAACTGTTAGTAAATGTTATTTGTAGTGATGTTCTGTGTTATTCAACCAAGTATAGGGCTTTAGGTTTTATGATTCAGGTAAGCTCAGAGTAGCTCTAGAATAGGGGTCCATGGGCTTTTTCTGTGAAGGGCCAGATAGTAAATAGTTTAGGCTTTGTGAGCCCGAGGGTCCCAGCTCTGTTGTCATAGCATGAAAGAGCCATAGAAAGTATGTAAACAAATGAGCATGACTGTGTTCCAATAAAACTTTATTTACAAAAACAGGCAATAGGCCACATTTGGCCTGGGAACCATAGTTTGCCATCCCCTGCTTTCGAGAATGGAGCCAGGCTTTTACCTTCAAATGACTGCTACACTTACCTATTGGTCAGTGAACCCGAACAATAAATAACCTAGGAAAAACCTTTGCTTGGGAAGGTTCCTATATAACTAAGAGGATGGTTTTAACAAAACTGCACTCATGTAAGGCACAGTTGCTAGAGAAAGTTGTATACCTTGTAAACAGAATACAGCCTTACTTTATATGTACAAAATATGTGTACATATATTTGCTGGCAAGTATGCTTATAAATCTTATTTGATGATGAAGTGGTTGTTGGAAGGCATCATTCTCTGATTTTTGTTTCATTTTTGCCTCAATCTTATTTTCAGAAACTGATCATTTTAGTAATTCTGAAGTGAGCAATTACATTACTCTCCTGTAAGTGATTTCCTTACTCACCATATACATCAATATCGGATAAGAATCCAAAATATGTTTTTTTCCTTAGGCTGTTTCCTACTTACTAGATTGAGTGGCAGAATACCATCTTAAATTTATTATGGATATATTTGTGTGCTACTGAAATTATAACTCAGTGGTACTTAATTTGCTGTGGGACTTGCTGTAAAAGAGATTGATGCCCATTGCATTGTATGTCATGCAGTTGTATTGTCTGTTAATGAAAATGGCAGACATCATTTTGGATTGAATAGAGGTCAAGAAACATGTTTCCTTCATTTCAATTAAATTGAGTAATCCCAAGGAGTTTAAATGTTAATGGCATAGTATTACCGAAAATTTGCCAGCGCGGAAAGCCTTGTCTTCATCTTTGCCCAGATAGAGAGGCAGCTGCACAGACACCCCGCCCTGCAGCTGCACTGTGAGACCCTGCATCGTCCATCCGGCTGGGCCCCACGCTGTGTCCTGCTTGTCTCACTGCAGACGCTTGCTTTGCATTTTGTGACACTTCTGGCATTTGCTTTGTGTTTTGTCTTGAAGACTCAACCAAGAATCAGTCAGAATTACTTTTGGA